TGCGCTGAAATTCAAATTTTATGTTGCCCAAAGAATGAATGGCCTGACGTTCGAATACCGTTAGCATTTTCAGCATTTCATCTTTCCAGTTCATTGCTGGCATTTCCATCTAAATCGAAAAAATCAAAACAATCAATTTCGTCAAGTTACACAACATACCCCAAAATCTCATCTAGCTTTGATTAAAACGATTGGGATCATAGAATAAAACCCGAATATCAGGTTATTTGGTTTTTCATTTCTAGCAACTTTTTTCATAACCAATGGAACCAATATTTTATGCAATTCTCAATACAATTCACAAAATGTTTGAGCTTACACCTTACTCTTACCTTTTATTTTGAAATTTGAAAAAAAAAAATCAATGACAAATATTAATTTATTGTGAAGAGACGTTTTAAATTACTTTCGGTCAATTAGTATCGTATGGAGGTCATAAATGAAACGTGTGCTTTGTAGAAGCTGTAAGGTTATGTGTGATGACAATGACCTTGTTATTTTGATAAAATGTCATGAATGTTTCTTAATTGGTTTTCCGCCACCTATGAATGTGCGACGAATTAAATTCGCTGCTGATATTTTTGAATATCTGTTTGAATTCAATTCAAGATACAATTAGATATAGATGGATTCAAGATACGAAAAAAATTAAAATAAATAAAGCCAATTTATTCGTAGAGAAATTTTCAATTTATTTGAAACAAAAAGTCAAAAATATTCAGTTTTGAAAATGAAAATCCATGGAAATATAAATTTATTCGCTACAGTGAATAATCATGTAGTTGGATTGCATTTTTAAGTTTTAATGACCAATGTTGAAAGTAATGTGTTGGCAAAATCTTTATAGGATTTGAATATGTTGGTAGTGTTGGTATGCAATCTTGAATTCTGTATTGAACGACTGTTTTTATGGGTTGATTCGGGTGTGGATGGTGTCCAAATGTCTCTTCAGACTTCCTTTCTCTGTAAAACGCGCCATACAAATCTGGCAACGAAACGGTTTTTCACCGTTGTGGTTTGACATATGCCTTTTCAAAAGAAACTTTGAAACATTGACATACTTCTTGCAGATATGGCATTCATATCGACGTTTTTTGCATACTTTTTCGTGAGCGTCTCTTCTGATCTTCTGCGAATATCCATTCAAACAACCTCGGCAATGGAACGGTACTTGTTCGGTGTGAGTCACTTTGTGCTTCTTCAACTGTTCCATTCTTGTGAATTTTTTACCACAAATGTTACATTGATATGGCTTTACGCCACTATGAGTACGCATGTGTACATCGAAGTTCCACTTATGATTGCTCGAATATTCACAGAGTGTGCATTTGAATCGCTTCTGCACCTCGAACTGGTTTGATGGTTTATTATTTCCCAATGATCTTGGAGTCAAACGTGATTGTATTCTTGCGGCGTCATCAACGACGTTTGATTGATTATTTGATGTGGTTGTTTTGGTTGTAACAAGTCGATGTGGGTTTGTTGGTGTGTGATCGCGATCCACAATGAATGGGATGCAAACTTCTACATCCCTTTCGTCCAATTCCATTGCCTTGTCAGCATCTCTTTTGATGCGATGTTCATGAATGACAGATGCATTTTCCAACTTGATTTGGTTAACGTTATCATCGTCTTCGTCATCCGAATCGATCATTTCAATCCAATCTTGTTTTCGGACTTCGTTAATGCCATGGGTTTCGATTGAACTCAACATGTTGTCACCATCACCCATTGACGCTTCTACATCTACCCCAAAGTCGAATTGGCCTTCCAATGTCGCATCGAATTCGAATTGATCATACGTAAGCTTGAGCCTGCACAGATTTAATATTTTCTTTCAATTAACCAAGTGTTATAACGCTGATTAAACATTTAAAATACTTTTCCCTTACACGCTGGGTGTGCGCGGAAAAGTAAAAATGGTTGAAAATATCTTTACTCACCGATCATTTGTAGCCCGCAGAAAATATTGCTTGAAATCAGCATTGAGCAAAAAACCACCACGTTTGAATGCCATTCGAATGTTGTTCAAGGACATTTTTGCCTGTCGATCGAACACACCAAGCATATTGTCCATCTCGTCTCTCCAGCTCAACATCATGATGATTTTAATTCTAATTTCAATATACAAAATCCAAATAAAAATGATAATTGTTTAGCACTACCGATGAAAAACGTGAATTTTCGAGTAAATTTGCACCTAAAGCTTGTTTCACCAAATGGCGTCGACAAAAACGCAAAAAAGAAGAAATATTTAAGAGTAAATTGATACAAACGTACCTTGATCTCTTTTTATCTAAAATGCGCAAAAATATTAATTTTCAATTTGGAAATGGTCTTTTGAATATTGGCGTCAGTTATCTTTCGCTTGCTCGTATTTTTAGAAATAAATTGTTTCAGTATGACAAAAAATCAATGGATCTACTGAGCGTTTAATGATTTACGTTGAAGAGTTGTGCACCGAATGATGGCATGCGACCTCCGGGATATAAAAATGAGTTGTCACATTTAATTCGCCATGGCGAAATGAGCTACTATTACAGTACCTGGAAGCGAGCAAGTGTTCAAGCATGCTCGAGCAAGTAATAAACCTTTTTTGAGCAACCGGAGTAGCAGAGAGTAATTTTTAAAGACTACTTGCTTACTTACTAGCTGCTCGCATTGCTCCAAAAAAAGCAAAATAAAAAAATTGACAAAAAATGCTAGCTTTGACAAAAAATGTTGTGTGTTTTCTGTTTATTATTATTTTAATTTTTCATCTTCTCATAAAATCTTTATATTTTATTAGATTTATCATAATTGCTGCTTTTTTTGGAGCAATGCGAGCAGCAGCAGCAAACTAAATACAGACATACCCGAGCAAGCATTCGTTTTTGTGCTTGCTTCCAGGTATTACTACAGTAAGCATAAGAGGTCAATTCAAAAAGGAATTTTTGGTTCTTTTTGCTTTCATTGTACGGCCGACTTAGTACTTTGCTTTTGTATACTATTTTGTGCCGAATATCAAGTCTTTCCAAATAATCAGTCGTGGTTTCCGTACCTTTGTCCTGAAAACACTTGAAAACTCTAGATTTTGTGAAAAGGAAAAACAGGTAGTTGTCGAGAATTTTTTATTTTATTTGAACCAAAAAGATGTCTTAATGTAAAAGAAGAATAAACTGATTACTTTTGATAGTAGTGATTATGTTGAAAAAGAAATGAAAGAAACTGCGTTGAAAGATTGAATTCATGCATTGTTTCTGGTGTGGATGGTGTTCAAATGTATCTTCAGACCACCTTTGTGTGTAAAACGCTTCATACAAATCTCGCATCGAAACGGTTTTTCACCGTTGTGCGTACATATATGCCGTTTCAACTTAGCTATATCACCAGTGACAAACTTCTTGCAGATATGACATTCATATCGACGATTTCTGCATACTTTTTCGTGAGCGTCTCTTTCGGTCTTCTGAGAAAATCCACTGAAGCAGCCTCGGCAATGGAATGGAATTTGTTCGATGTGAGTCACTTTGTGCTTCTTTAACTGTTCCATTCTTGCGAACCCTTTGCGACAAATGTCACATTTATATGGCTTTACGCCATTATGAATACGTATGTGTCTAGTGAGGCTTCCTGTATGGTTACTGGTAAATTCACAAAGTTGGCACTTGAATCGTTTTTGCGTCATCAGCTGGCTGGATGGCTTTTTGTTCTTCAATGTTTTTGGAGTCGTAGTTGGTTTAGGTAATCTTACAGTAATATTGTTCATTTTCACTTCATCCATGGCCGTTGCTTCGTCGATGTCTTCATCTCGGCTTTGCTGAACATCGTTTTGGCAGTAAGGCTCATTGGTCCTTAACATTTCAATGCAACGTTCATCGTCTTCATCGCTTGAGTCGATGATTTCAACTGGATCACTCATGAAGTGACCATTCCAATGAATTGGGCTCTTCATCAGATTTCCGTAATCTGTTGATGTGGTAGCATCAGCACCAACATCGGTTTGCTCCTCGAACATTGAGTCAATTTCGAATTGATCATAAGTTAACTTGATCCTGCACAAGATTATTGAATTAATAAAAAAACTACAAAATAGTTTTCGAAAAGTTCTCTCACCGATCATTTGAAGTACGCAGGAAATATTGTTTGAATTCGGCATTGAGCGATAGGCCACTGCGTTTAAGTTCCGTTTTAATGTTGTTCAGGGATATTTTTGCTTGGACATCGAACACAGCAAGCATCTTATTCATCTCAAGACTCCAGCTCGACATTTTTGCTCACAAAAATATGCTCTGTACAAAGTCAACAAAAAAAAACATGAAATTTGCTGAAAAAACGGATAAATTTGCTTTACCTTTTTATTTTATTCGGCAAAAAATCTGTATTTGTCAGTCTTTGGCACGTTTGACGCTTTAAATTTAATTGTATTTTAGAAAGAACTTGCTTAAATATACCAATATTTCAATGGATTCACTGAGGTTTAATGATTAATTATAGTGGTGGAAGTGCCATAGAAGCACGTGAGCGATAAAAAATTAGATGTCAAAGCGAGTTCGCCATACTCAATTAAAAGTCGCCTGTTTTGTTGTGTCCAATTAAATTCTACAACGAACGTACCCTTGACAGGAACTGCTGTTGACACACAACGGGCGAAATGCAATGGTTGTAATTTTATTGGTTATAACCTCAGTAACACCACGCATTTTGCACACGTCATTACGCAATAAAATTGTACGCATTTTCTGGAACAATCTCCGAAATTTTCAAACGTGGAATAAATCATTGAAAAACCCCTTAAAATGGAAGCAAAAGTTGAAACAAATGAATTACAAACGAAAATTGTAAGTATTGATTAAAGTTTATTTCATTATATTGCTTGAAATAAAATTTTATTGAATTTTTCTTGGAAAAGGATCAGCGAGATCAATACTGCTGGATTTGTCACGAAAAGTGCCTGAAAGTTGGTTCCACCAATTGTTCCAAGTGTTTCCGTTCATTTCACACAAAATGTTTGATGCCGATCTTCAACCGGCTGTGGAAAGAAAGATGCATTTGCACCGTGTGCACGATCGGCGAAACTTCGAAAAATGCGTGTGTCGAAATGTAAGTACACAAAAATCCTTATTGGCTCATCTATGGTTAGAGTTAAAGAGGACTTAAATGAGAAGTTACAACAAGGGAAAAAAATCGGATAAGAGAAAAAACTATACATATATTGTTGGTATGATCAACACCACAGGATCACAGCGCCCATCTATTGCATTGCATCGGCATGTAAGAGAGAATTCGTGTTTCTGCGTTGTCTTTTGTATGTATTCATGCTTCCATGACGCATCACTTTAATTTGTTGCCGGAACTAAGTCGAGGATTTTTTTTCAGAAAATGTTTTTGAATATTAAAATCAGCTATTTTGTGGTTCTTTGGTCAATTTTTCAAATGGTAGCCATTGCCACCGGTTTTGAATGGAAATTGTCTACACTAAAGCAAACAAAATAATCAATGAAAAATTTGAAAATTTTACTCTCCTAAATTTTTTTACTGTCATCTCCCCACTCTCTTTTCCGATATTCACTTAAAATGTTCTCTCATTTTTCAGGCAGCACATACTGGACTTACTGAAGTACACAATAGCCGACGTTTTGAATAAGCCAGAAGTAAGTTTCACTCAAAATCTACCTCAAAATCAATTTCCAGAGGGATAAAATTGACATTAATTGGATAAATTCCGATTTTGTCATCATTTTGGTCGAAGTGATACGCCAAAGATCTTATGTGATTCGGTGAAATTTTCATGATTTGTGTGCTTGCTTCTAATTTCAGTTTCGCGTGTTTCAAAATTTGGACGCATTGAAAACGGATACGCGCTACACCAGCACCGTCACCAATCCAATTGATTTGAACAAAATCGCCGACAATATCGATGGCCATCACTACAAAAGTTTCTATGCATTTCTTGTCGATGCAGAATGTATCTATCACAATTTCTGCATTTATTACGGTGGTGAGTATGCAATCATCTTATGAGAATTCGTGTTTAATCATTTTTTTTAATCATCATTGGCTTAATGGTATTTTTATTATTCAATTGCAGTACGTCATGAGCAAACAAAAGCAGCCAAATCACTGTTTGAGTTTTGTACATACGAAACAAAATCCATTTTCAGTTGTTCCGATTGTTACATTAATAAACACTTGCATCCAAGTTCATGGCGCACAATGGCCTGTACTGTGCCACACCTTCTGCTGTCGATTAAATTGAAAGTGTCATTAGATTTTTGGCCGATTAAAAAGGGTTTCGGGTATTGGCCAGCAAAGTTGATTAGTAACAGTGACGATGAAAATAAAGCAATTTTCTTCGGTCATCCGGAAATCATTACAATTGATAACCGTAGTCTTTCCAAGAGTTTTGTGTATTCCAACACAGCGCCGACCTTACAGTCAGGTCAAAGCGAAATCGAGGGTGCATTGGAGGTGAGACTTATATTCTGACGCATTCTGCATAGTTTATTCTTCTAACTTACGACATAACTTCTGAAGTCGGCGATCCAAAACCATGAAATTTGGACCCTTGATCAGAAGCTATACCAAAACAGAAAAAACTAGAATTTTTAATACAAAAATATATTTATTTAAACAGGAAGTCGAAAAGTACCGCAAATCCATCGAAAAAAAATTCGGCCGTTTCATTCTACCATTGAAATCTATGCCATTCAAGCCCCAACACTTTGCTGGGCACATGAAGCAAATGTTTCCAGATTATGCTGTCTCTAAACCAGATGGATCTGCGCAAAATCAAAGCGCCAATGTCGAAAACAACGATAAGCCTCCGATAAAAAAACGCCGCTACTCTCGACATACCAAACATGTTGAAGACATTAAGCACGATTTACGAGGCGAACCTGAAGTGGAAACCTCTATGACGACCCTCGTTCAACATGATCACCAATACGGAACAAACGGTTTTAGTTCTGATATAGGTTCATTAGTCAGTACTGGTTCTCAACCATCATCCGACCAAAGCGAAACTGCGTCCCAGATTTTCCACAAACAACTTGCTGAAGGTATGAAATTCATCCAAAACAGTGCCATAAACTTCGAAAATGTCAACAAAGCAAAAACGTCATCCTTGCAAATCGAATTGAAAAAGGCACAAGACGCACTTGCCGAATGCCAAACAAAGAACGACAAACTATTTGCCCAAGTTCAAGCTGTTACGTCCGAAATGGATCTGGAATTGATCGAAGCCAAAAGTGTTTTGGCCAAAGTAAAAGAAGATCATGCAAAAGAAATTGCTGCACTGAATAAGCGAAATATGGAAGCGATATGTGTGCATGAGCAAGAGAAAAATAATTGGCAGGAACAACGGCAGAAATTATTTAAAATCAAAAACAGCCAGGAAGCATTGATGAACGTCGCAAGGAATACAATCGAGAAAATGAAAATGGAACATAACGCGAAAATGAGGGAAATGGAAACACAAATGCAGGCGATCATCAAGGAAAAAGAACAAATCGAATCTGATTTGGAAATTAAAAATTTAACCCAAGTACGAGAAAAAATGAAGAAATACCAGAAATCCGACAACAGTTTTTCGAAATAACGGAAATGCTATCGGTCCGAATATGGTAAAGAGTGTTTGCAAATTGTTTATGGCTTTAGAAGAAACTTTGGGTTTTTTATCGAATAAATACAGTTTTGTTTTGCTTTACAGGAACACAGTTTTCACAGCCGAAGGAAGAAATCAGAATAAATCGAAATAAACACACCAAATGGACTGGACATTCATTGAATTGTATAATTAAACATTTATCAGATTTTCTACTTTGAATAGAAATCTATCATTATACTCGTATTACTTTAAATTTAATGGAATCCGTTGCTCGCTTTTCATAATATCAAGACGTTTTTTTGTATTTTTTCCCAGCAATTTTTTTACAATTTATAATCCGATTTATGCCAGTTTTGTCTACATACATTTGGACCCATCAGGTCATATGAATTGTTATTTTTTGCAAATTAAAGGTTACGAGTTCTATTAAGAGTTTTTGTTATATTTTGTCGTTACTCAGTTGTATTCAGACTTTTAATAAATAATTTTTGTGGCTTCAAAAATTCTAATTTTGACTATAATTAGATAAATTCGATATTCTTGGTACAAATTACAACGGTTTTCATTAAAGGGAATTGCAAAATTCATTTAAAAAAATTGTATTGGGTTATTGATCGAAATTTGTTTAATTTTCAAAAAAATGACCTGATTTTTTTTTGTATTTACGATTAAATGACAAATTTTTATGAATTTTCTAGCGTCTAGCGAAATACACTTTATGTAACATTGAACATTCACTCTTTGTGGAAATATTTACAAATAAAAATGAATAGATTAACAATTTAAAATTTGTATTTTGTATCCCTGTAGTAAGAATTTAAAGTGTTAATTTATTATTTATTTATTTATTTGATTTTCACGTCTACTTAAATAAGCCGACGGTACAATTTAATAGTAATTCACGAATATTCGTCGAGATCAATTGAATTGGGAATTATAGTTATATATATAAATAGTTAGGATTAGTTTTAATTTAAATGAACAAAGAAAAACAGTTTAGTTAATCCGTTATCACAGTTTCGTCAAGATATAGTAAAAAAAGAGAGAATATAGAATATAATGCTTATTTAAGAAGGAAATGATGGCATCACAATGAATAAATATGCGAACATTAAAAATAAGAAAATTTCAATTAGGAATCACAGAATACATATAAAATATTATTTGAGCTTTGTTAGGTCAACGAAAACACCATCGGGAAGTTTGAGTAGAGCATGTTTAAATTCATCGAATGGTAGAGTGGGATCTATGTGAAGTGCGGCAAAATTGAAAGCTCTGCAAGCCGAGTTCCATGGTGAATTAAGACCGTAATTCGTTCTGGAGAAATTGATTTTAATGAATTCGGGATTTCTTAATGTTCGTATGCCCAAGTTCAACTTTAATTTCTGCCTAAGATCTGGAGACTCGAACTTTCCGGATATGATCTTTTTCATAAACAGTACCATGGCGTTGACTCTTCTTCTCGCTAGAGTGTCGATATTCATTTCAGTACATCTTGTAGCATACGATGATAATATGAAGCCGTTTTCCCGTCGATTAATGTAGTCGCCCCGAAGATATATCACGGCATTTTTCTGAGTACTTTCAACATGATTTTTGTAGTCTAATTGATGAGGTGACCAGATCACACTGGCAAATTCCAGGTGAGATCTTACAAGAGATCCATATAGTATTTTCGCAATGTCCACGTTGAAAGATCTGTATTCTCTTTTAACAAATGCCCACATTGTGTCGGCCTTTTTTCTCACAAATTCCATATGGGTGGAGAAATTAAGTTTCCGATCCATAAGAACGCCCAGATCTCTGATTTCATTGACTCGTTCAATTGGAATACCATCAATATTGTAGTTGTTTTGAATGAATGAATTTCCATGATAAAATGACATTATTTTACATTTTCCAATATGTAAATCGAGTCTATTTATATGACACCATTCGACGAAATCGTCAATTGCCCTTTGGAGCTTTTTGGCATCATCTTCGGATCTAATTTCAACGGCGATTTTCTTATCATCAGCGAAGTTGAAGTAGCGGGTGTGCTGACTATGACAATCGGAATCATCAAAGAACGCCAAGAAAAGTAGTGGGCCACAAATAGTACCCTGACCTACCGCTGAATGGGCTGTGAATGGTTCTGAATATGACGCTCTCTATTTATACTGTGCTAAGCAATTTATACTGTGCTACAGAAAAAAATTACCGAAAACAAACAAACCATATTAAAATCTTCATATTTAGTCTTTTTTTGTAAAACCAACAAAAGCCGGAGTTTTTTAATTTTACACATTTAAAAAAATTCTAATTGAAATACAATACCTTTCCTACAGTGTAGGACTTACACTAGGTGTGTGGAGAAGTAAAAGCCAAATTGATAAAAGTTTTTTTCTAAAGAAAAAATTTCAATATTTTTCATGAAAATAATTTTCAAAATATATAGGGACAATTGTGAATAAAAAAATTTAAAATACTTTCGAATGTCTATATACACTATATTGGTGTGACATCTAAAAAAGTCGAATTTAATTTTTTCAAAAAATTATTTAAAAATCTCCTCAAATTTTTCCGCCGAATTTTTTTTTTTCAACAATTTTTTTAAATTGGAAAAATATCATAAGATAAATTATTGGAACATTTTCAAGGAAATGAACAGTCTTTACTTTTACTGTCGCAATTTTTAGCATTACCAAATGCCAAATAACAAACATTATGAAAACGCAATTGCATGTTCCAGTTAAAGTAAAAAAATATCAATTTACATGAATTTTTTGATTATTTATCAATTTTAAATGATTTAGTAGCGAGTCCTTTTCCAAAATAAAATTGTACTTAATGTTGGCGACAGTAAAATTGCAACTAATTCATTGCACAACTGAATTTTGAACGTTAACGACAATATTTATTATTGAATGGGACCAGATTAAAAAAAATTCCAGACATTTCCAGATTTAATGATTTCGAAGTTTTACCATTTTTATTTAAGTTCACATTTTTCCTGAATGAATTGAAAAGACAACATTTTTTACAAATAGAATTTTTAATGAAAATGAAATGTATTTTTTTCTTTGTTAACCCACGGTCGAAAATTAATGTAATAATTTGTGATCATAAATTAATTGTCGCTTTGGAAATTACAATTTTCTCCTGCATTTTTTTTTTAAATATATTTGAATCGACATTTGCTAATTGAAAAAACCGTCATTTGAGCTTATATATATAAATATCAAGAAAAAATTGTCGAAAATTGGTTACAATTGTTTTTTCTCCTTGTTGTTCTTTGCCTAAAAATGGCTGTTATAGAAATTCAGCAATTTAATTGCTATTTGTTAAATATCTTAAGATTTGATTAGGTCAAATTTGAACAATAATAAGAGCGACTGAATTTTGGCAAATATTTTTTTCTGACATAAAAATTAATATTTTTGCATTGTTGAAAAACAAAATCAATAGATTCCTCTAAATGCTTGCATTTTATGGACCTAATTGTCATATCTTACTGATGGTCATGTATTTTTTATGGCTTAAATATTCAGAGCATGATTTGGCTTAAAACTATAAAATTGGCCGTAAAAGGCAATTGGTGTCAATGATCTTTGTAATCATTGCCTAAAAAAACATGTTGTTATCGCCTGACGGTGTGGCTTCACACTGCACACTGCAGTAGTATGTTCCACCTGGCTTGCCGCATGTAACACACCATTGTTTCTGTTTGGTATCGCTGATCATTTTGGCGCATTGATCGTAGACATTGTCGCAACCCACCTCCAATTCCGTGATTCGATCAGCCATTAGATTTCTTTCCACCGTAACACCTTCCATTTCCGTGGTTAGTTTTTCATTCGTCTCCATTAGCTGTTTGTTCATATTGATCAATTGAGCGTACTTTACTTCAAGCATCTTCATACGATTGGCCGCATTACTGTCTGCCACCTTGAATTCAGCATTTTCCGTTCTGGCTTGATCCAATTGGTCGGTGAGTGCTGTGATTTCATCTTTGGCCTTTTCCCAATCTTTGGTCAATTTATCCAATTTCTGGTCGCTTTCCTTCAACGCCTCTTCCGTCTTCTTTGCTTCATTGTATTGGTTCTTGTACATCACTAATTCTGCTGTAACTTCGGCCAATTTTTGGTCACGAGCTTGCAACGCTTCGTCCATCTTCTTTGCTTCCGAGTATTGTTCCTTGTACTTTGCCAATTCCTCCATTACTTCAGCCAATTTTTGGTCACTAAGTTTCAACGCGTCTTCTACTTTTTTCGCTTCTTTAAGTTGTTCCTTTACCTTTTCAAGTTCGGTCTCCAATTTTACCACCGTTTCAGCCAATTGCTGGCCGCTTTCAATCATCGTTTCTACCGCCTTTTTTGCATACGTATGCTCCTAGAGATAATCAGAAGAAGAAAATGGAATTAATGGAAATTAATCAACATGTAATGGAATGTGATGGAAAATGAATCGTAGGAATGGATCAGGAATTGTAGAGTAATGGAATAGTAATTTTTAAGTGCCTTGGTATGCTCTCCCATCGGGTCATCTTCGGTGGCTTCAGTCGAATTATTGTGTCCATTTTGATGATTTTCATCCGGGGAACTTATCTCTGCTTTGATCATACGCTTCTTGATTACGGTCGCACCAATACGAGTCTCACCATTTACCGTTGTGCTACTACCTTCATCTTGTCCCGATCGACCACTGGTAGCATTGGCACTTGTGGGTCTCACTTCGAAGTCGCGACAAGCTTGAATCGAAATAATCTTCATTCCGGATGCTGTTCTTTTGGCGCGTTCATCATCGCTGTCATCAATTTCGATGTAATCGACTTTACGGGTTTTTTCTTTGTTTCCCATTCGTCCTCTGTTTTCAATCGAATTGGAACTTGTGGCAACGAACATATTTATAGCGTTTCGACTGAATATTTTGCCCACCACCTGTGAGTTGATTTCAAAGTAATGGTACGCCTCTGCCAACCTGTGAAAATGCATGCAAATTCGTGTGTAAATTCAAGAGAATAAAATAAGACCAACGTATACATACCGGGCATACGATAGTTGCAAAAAGTACTGCTTGAAATTGGGATTGATGGCAAGCCCATTGTGCGTCAGTACCGTTTTTATGTTGCCCAGCGAAAGGATGGCTTGGCGTTCAATTGCAATCAGCATTTTGAACATTTCATCGTTCCAGTCCATGGTTGCCATTATTATCTAGATTGAACAAGTTAAAATAAGTAATTTCGATAAATTAGTTTGATTTTCCGTGTCTAACGCATTTATTTATCGTCAATTGTTCAAATATTGTGAACAATTCTCATTTTTTTTAGAATTTGTGAGTTTGACGATACGATTCTTATACACCACTTATACTTACCTTTTATTTCGTTCTTAGAGAAAATCGAATCCAAATGAAAATGAAAATCTTAACGAACAGTAATTCTCGCGATTTATTGAAATTTTAATTACTTCGGATAAATAAATATTGTACGGAACTGATGAAATAAATGAAACTCTTTGTGTAAGAAATGCTTTGTGTAAGGCGGCAAAAAAATGACTGTACCGTTTTGATGCAATGTCATCTGTCTAAATGGAATTTTCGCCACGATGTGCGACAAATTCAATTCGCTGCTGCTATTTTTGAATATCAGTGGCCATAAAGGCTCGGTTTGGATTAGGATGAATAATTAAAATGAAGAAATACATTTTTCGTAAGATTTAAAATAAATTTCAAAATACGTTTTCAATACCTTCTATAAACAGACAATTTTTATTTGAATTTATTTAGCAATCTAAAAGAACTCAAACCTATTTATTTTAATAAATTTTTAAAAAATGTCCATCAGTACATTAAAAGTGTTTTTTTTTTTAGAAAAAAAGTCAAATAAGGAAATCGTCACATTTTACAACTTATTTGTTGATTTGAAAGTTTATTATAAATATGGTTGTGTGATATTACTGTATTTCTTACATTTGGTTGGAAGTTTTTCAAATATTTCAATTATTTATTATGCTCAACTATTGCCATGTTCAATTAAAGCTATTCTCTCTTCTGGACCATATTTTTTTTTGTTTCTGATTTTATTGTGTAACTACTTGGTACAGGGCTTATATTAAACATGGTGGTATCAAAGAGACACTCAAGAGAGATTTGATGAGCATAAGACCGCAAGGAGAGTGGTGGTTTATGCCACCGAAAAATACTTTACTGCACACAGTGGGTGTGCGGAAAAGTAAGAGATGATTGTAGTAAAAGAATGGCTTCGTTGGGCATTTGACAAAAGTAGCCTAGAATCCATAGAATCGAACCAGAACCACAAATTAATCGCCACTCCAGGCTTTAAGTTTCATCGAGATGAAACCATGACAGCAAACAAATCTTACCATTCACATTCCAAAGTAAGAAATGAATTAAAATGACGAATTTTTATTTAAAATTATTTCTTAATAAGAAGAAAAGAAATTGCCACATTTTAATTTCTTGTTGAAAACATAAAAAATAATTTAAAACTGACAAATAAATTAATGTCTGATTACAATTTTTTTCTTAAATTGTTTTGTTCAGTTTGAATGTACGAAAAACTAATAGTTCTAATAACACTGTTATTTTGTTCGAATTATATATTTTCTATTTTTTTTCTCAACAAATTGATTCAGTGAAAAATACAATTTCTATTTTATGACAAAATTATTACAATACCGACTGATTTGTATGTTCAATGAATGTAAATCTTTTACAGAACTCTAGTCGAAAAATTTGAATCGAACATTTCGTACAGCAAAAATTTATAACAAATTGGTACGTTCAAAAAATATTCCGGTCAGTTTGAATGTGATAAAAAACGGTCTTTGGACTCAATATAAATATGAATAGAATAACTGCCGAATATACATCAGCTACAATTGTAATTTTTTTCTCCTTTTTGTTCATTGATTAATGAAGGCCTATCGAAATTTCGCAATTTTATCGTTAAATATTTTTTTATCGCTTTTAGTTCGTTATTAGATTGCAAAACTTAATCAATATTTTTTCCTTGTGATTTTCATTTATGGCGTAAGTATTCAAAAAATGAGCTGAAAAAACATGACTTGACTTAAAACTATTGAAAAAAGAAGCAGCTGGACCCAATGATATCTATTCTGTCCGATATTCTTCGCACTTCTCACTGCAGTAGTACGGGCCATCTGGCATGCCGCATGTAATGCACCATTTTTTCTGTTTGGTTTCGGTGATCATAGTGGCACACTGTTGATAGGCTTTGTCCGTAATCAGTTCGCTTGCTGACTCCAATTCCACGATTTTGTCAGCCATGATACCATTTTCCGATTGTAAATTTTCCATGGCCGTCGACATTGCTACGTTTGTCTCCGATAGCTCTTTGTTCATATCGATCAGTTGATGGTACTTTATTTCGAGCGTTTCGTAACGATTGTTCTCATCACTGTCGGTCACTTGACGTTCGGTGTTTTCGGTTTTGAGTGTATTTAATTGGTCGACAAATTCCATTTTGGCCTTTTCCAAACCTTCGTTCAATTCCGTCAACTTCTGGTTGCTTTCTTTCAACGCCTCTTCCGCTTTCTTTGCTTCCATATATTGTTTCTTGTACTTTTCCAATTCTGGCGCAAGTTCAGCCAATTGCTGATCACGCGCTTTCAACGCCTCCTCTGCCTTTCTAGCTGCATTGTACTTTTCCTTGAACTTCTTCAATTCTCGCGTCATATCAGCCACCTTTTGTTCGCTTTCTTTGATCGCATCTTCAGCCTTTTTTGCAGCGATAATTTTGTCCTTGAACTTTTTGGCGTTTGTTTTCAAAGTGTTGTTTTGATTGCGTAGATCTACTAATTTTTCACAATAGTAAGAACGCTGTGTGTCTAGTTGGCTTTGGAGTTTTTTGATTTGAGCGTCTGGCTTTGATGTGACCATGAAATCAACCAACGTTTGATTGAGCGATTGTCGAACACTTTCCGTTAGTTTACGCATATTACTGTCAACGACGGATCGGCACGCTGCTGACATGTCCTGCGACAAATGCAAATTCCATGTATCGTTGAAATTGCCCTTTGGCGTTGATTTCGGTGGCTTTACATTGGACGGCTTTTGTGGTGATTTTGGCTGAGCGAAATTTGGCAATTTTTGGGCTGAGTGCGGTGTGAAGACGGGTGCTTTTTGCATCGATATCTGTGGCTTGATATCGGGTAGATTTTGCATCGATTTTTGCGATGAAAAATTGGGAAGTTTTTGCATGGATGCCTGTGGCGCAGAATCAGGCAGATTTTGCATCGATTTCTGCGGTGAATAGTTGGACAATCTGCGTACGGTTACCTGTGACGAAATGTTGGGTAATTTCTGCATTGGCTGCGGTGTAAAATCGGGTAATGGTTGCATTGATATCGGTGGATTGAAATCAGGCAGGCTTGGCATAGATTGCTGTGGTGTAAAATCGGGAAGTTTTTGCATGGCTGGCTGTGGCGAAAAATCGTGAAGATTTTGCAACGATTTCTGCGTTGAATAATCGGACAGGTTTTGCATGGCTGGCTGCGGTGTAAAACCTGGAAGTCTTTGCATGGGTACCTGTGACGAAAAGTTCTGAACTGATTTTGACGAATTAAAATTGGGTAAATTGTGCGCCAATTTTGATGGTGAAAATTTTTCCACTCTTTCCGCTAGTTTCGATGGACAAAATTCACTCTTGACCTTAATACTGCCAAGTTGGTGATGCATTCCATTCGGTACTGTGTTTCGGTTCTGGTTCGGTGCGAACGGAACCTTGAACATCTGATTGGGGTTAAAGTTGAACTTTTGGGCCGATGGCAATGTGATTGCTTGTAATTGATTCGGTGCATGTGAAATTTTCTGAATTTTATGCGGTTGCTCAGCGTTTTGGTTCATTTTCCGCTTTTGACCCATCTTTACACCCATTGAATCTGAAGAAAAACAAATAAAAAAAACTCAATTTTTTCGGAGAAGAAAAATGTGCTTACAATTATTTACCTTTGGCTTTGTACATTGCAGACGTGGCGCTCATTCGGGCCGAAGGGCGTTCACATTGAAGCGACTGGCGCCGATATGCTGATGTTTTCTGCGTTGTATCAATCACCTTTCTCTTTTTGGTCTCCGGTGTGTCTGGTCGTGATTCCATGATGGTTGACAGGCGTCGCGTCATACAGCGGCCAGTTTTGAGGAGTTCTTCGGGTGTTTGCATTACCGATTGTCGATTTGATCGTTGTACGGGCGTCGACATTCGTCGAGCCACTGTTGCTGGAGCCGGAATCGGTGGCGGAACATCACTTTTACCGAGTTCCTTCCAAGCATTTGGTATTGTATCGTACAAGTGACGCTCCAACATATCGCCGCGTAGAAATGTAGCTGGTTCAGCATAGTTGAACAAACGATAGTTCTTGATCAGATTTTCGATGTAGTGTTCGGCCTCCTATGTGACAAGGAAATAAGAGAAGGATATCAAACCAAATTGGCAATTTACCAAAAACCTTACCTTGGTCGCTTCCATCAATTTATCTTTATGTCGGTTATTATTGGCGCTTGGATTATCGCGCGAGTAAAGAAGACAATCTTTGGCTGGCAAAATGGCTCGCAAATGGTCACCGCCAAAGTAACGAACGTCGACATTTTTGCTGTCGGCATGGTAACGCATCAATTTAGCCGGCCAATACGGAAAAGTGCGTTGCTTTGCCCAGATAAGCAAGTGTGGTTTCTTACATGTATTTGCGAACCAATCTTCTTCCATTTCATCGTAGTTAATATAACAGTCATGGCACATCTTATAGCTGTACACCTCTTCCTTTGCGTAATTGAACAATGCTCTTGCTTTTCCCTTTTGATCATTCTTTTGATCATCTGATTAATTCAAGAAAGGTGAAAATTCATTTGCATTGAGTAAAAGAGTACTCGTGATTCGTCGAAAAAGGATCATGCCACTCACCTGAATGTTGAACGATCGTATTGTGGACGATCCACTTGAGGTCTGACTGAAACTCTTCACAGCAACTGTATGCACCATTTTCGATCTTTTCACGAATTGTCATCAGATCCATTTTATAAACAACGCCATTGTTGGTACCATCGTTTCCATCTTTGCCGTATTGAATCTTCATGAACGGAGCTGACATCTAAAATGGAATTGAACTTTTATTTTATTCTATTTTACGGATTCCTATTACCCAGTGTGTGAAGGGCCACTTACATTTTTATCGATTGTGGTCAAGACATTGTAGATGTAATTCAACACACTCTTCAATTGTTCCGAATGGATTTTTCTAAGAAAGAATAAAAATTCAATTAACTCGTGCATTTTTGTGTTTCAAAAAACGATTTCGATTTCATAGAAATCAGAATTAAGAACAATTTCTCAATTATGTCATAAAAAATCATTAATCTATCATTTTTCATCATAATTTTCAATTTCAATTTTAAAAAAACCAACAATTACTTACTTCTTTCTCATTTCTTTGGCTCCAATGTCAATATCCACACAGGATTTGCACCGCCAAGTTGTCTTATCTAGATCACTTAACCGTACATTTTGCAAACACACTGACATCGAACAGTACGAACGCATACATGTTGTACAAGAAACCTGCGCCTTCTCCTTGTGGCACGTGAAACAGTGGCGTGGCAAAACTGGGTTGGGCTGAAATGGTGCCGGTGATACGGATTTTGGCTCAAATGTACTCGGTGACATCGAATCGGACTGAAATGGCGTCGGTGACATCGATTTCGGCTCAAATATACTTGGTGGCATCGAATCGGGCTGGAAGGTGCTCGATGAATCCGATTCCGCCTGTTAATAAATACAAATTATATTAAACGAACAACGAATAAGATTTGTTTTGGTATAAATATTCTCCGTCGGACTAAAAGAATTGTCTTTATTTAGTATTAATCCGAAAATGGCTTGCTTCTTATCTCTTTTCAAAACGGGACTTCTTTGTGTCGATGCACAAAATCAACGCTGCGGAAAGAGCTGAGATAAAAATCAACTAGTAGCTTCACGCGGGTTACTTGTGAGATTACAGCACACGCTTCACATAAGCAGAAAAAAATTAACAGGTTCAAATATGGTGCCTTATTAATGTTCAATTTTCAATTTTAGATGCGCTATTATTTGTGGTACAGTCGAGGTGATTCACCGTTATATTTGGGTTTCTCTCATCAGAGAGAACGAGTATGCAAATATTGTACAGAGTCTGTACTACAGACGTCAGCGGTTCGAAAAACCAATACGAAAATGGTAACAGTGCATAGTATCGACACACTTTTTATGCTAGAAAACACAAAAAAAATGCGCAAAGTCTACACAAACTACACTAAGGGTGTCTGTCTCTTTTGAGACACATTAAAAGCAACACTTGAAAAACTAGCATCAAAAATCGGGGAATCAAATGAAACCACACTATTTGTGGATTAACCCGATTGAAAGCAATAACGTGATGTAAAAAACTCAAAAAACAACATTGTCAAAGTAGAAAACAATTAGAATTACCTGGTTGTTGGTTTCGGTTGGATTGTCAACAATTTCTTCTCCTTCTGTCATCTTGAACAAATTTTTGCGGGATAAATATGGCGCAACAAAACTTATTGTACGCAATTTTAGCTAGTAAAAATCGATTTCAAATCGACGATAAATAAATTTATATTTCGTAAACACGATTAATAATACTGTTTTCAATGTACGGCACAAGTTGAGTAAAAATCAAATTTGGCTGCTTTGAATAAAAAACACGTCTGATCAGATGAAAAGCACTATGGTGAATGTTAGACTTGGCATCGTCTATAGCAAGGTAACGCGCGTATTTACACGGATAAATACATACACACATAGAATCAAGGGTGAAGGATCTTGTGAATTACGCGTGTCTGTGTGCAAAGTTTATGCTTGTTGTTTTGGCGCAAAGGAAGACACAAACACAATAACACGGTATGCGATCGTTCAATGTGAATGTTGAAATGTCATTCGCGTTACTTGATAAAATTGGCGTCAGAGGACGCAAAGCACATATAAGTTTAGACGGGGTTTTTTCAAACATAAAACTCATCGGAAAATTTGGGGTTTTCAACATAAATTCGTTCGGAATTGAAACAACTTTTTTTGAAGGAAAAATATGAAAAAAGACTTTTTGGGTTGCCAGCTCAATTAAAATACCTTTACAAAAGGTACAAAAAAACCACACCAAGTAACTTTGAATAATTCCTCGAAAATCTTGAGGAGAGTCTTTCTTTTTGGAGTATTGAAAAAAGCGGTTTTCAATCAAGAGACGAACGGCTGAAGAACGGCAAAAAGGGTTTCCAATACCCGTTCCTGTTTTCTTATACCATTTTGAAAAGTCGACAAAAAAGGGTTCTGTCAAAAGATTACTTTGAATCCAACTGTGGGATAAATTGAAACACTAAAAAATTGAGCCACACAATGAAAAATGTAAAAAACAGGAAATGAAGTTAATTTGAGGAAAAAACTGTTTGTCTTTTCTTATCATTATGATCACTGAAGTCGAGGCGAGCCCGTGGCAAACAAGTCAAAATTTCGTATAAAATCCACTGACTCGAGTATTTTCTTCCATTTGTTGTCGATCAAAGTGTACCGTTTCAAAATGTTGTTATTCATCGGAGTTTTCTTGTTAATGACTTACCTTGATATTCACTTTGATTGTATCGAATTGATCAATTTGTACAAACGTTACAATGTCTCATTGCTACGTATATCCAAATGACGAAGGTAACTTTCACGAAGAATTACGCGATTGAAGTTTGGTTCTATTATAATCGACTTAACAACACCCAGTAAATGATGAACGTGGCCAACATATCAAAGAATCCACTCCGTGATGTTTTTGATAAATATTACGGAGACTATTGGATGTATCAACTCAAAGTCCGATCGAATTTCGTATTGTTTTAATGGAAATTTATAATTGTATCTGATGAATCAGGACTCCTGATTCAGGAGAAATATTGTATGAAAAATTTCTTTCCTACTACCGAGGGATTCTCGAAATTTTGTTGTGGCGGAACGACACCGGTGAAAACATCTTCTAATACAATAAGTTATTGTCAATAATATCAAAGTGTTTCGCAATTTCACATTTATATTTTAGAATTTTGAACAAGTAGTAAATGCGCTTAATGGTGCTTAATATTCTCTTGAAAATTAAAACTCTACTAATTTTTTAAACACGCACCTTATTAGTCTGGAGAATAAAAGGTATATATTTGTATTTCTAGAATAGGATAATTTGTCTGCTCAAATTGGTTGTTTTTATTTTGAGCGAATTGTATAAGAAGATACTCGCGCTGACTCGATTTTATGCCTTGATGCCTCTTACCTTCAAAGATAAAAACTATTCATCAAGTTAAATCAATCTAAGACCAAATTGAAAATGTTTAAACACAGAATCTTTTATCTTCTTTAAGGATATAGTTTTATTTATTTTATTCGATTTCTAATTATCTCGAAAGCAATTTTACGATTAAACATACTTTTTCTTATGTTTATCAAAATGATTGAAGCTAAATGCCTAACTTAAATACGTGCTAAGTTCTAGACAAAACTTTAGATTAAATATATGTCGGATGTGAGCTTTTTTCTTAATTGGTTCCTCTGTTACAAAGTTTAATTTTGGATTGAATTGCAATCATTTCTTCAAACCGTGTACCTTTTTCATATGCAAATTAGCTTGTCCAAGTAGTGAAAAACGACCGTCACATAGTTTGCATGGAAATGGGTTCTCGCCAGTATGATAGTTTCGCATGTGTCTTTGTAATTGTGTTAATTCATGCTTTAAAACTTTACATAAATAACACTGAAAAAGGCGACGCTTGCAGCGATCTTTGTGAGCAATCATATCCTCTTCTCTTGCAAATGGCATAAGGCATTTGGAGCAATGGACCGGTTTTTGTTTGGAGTGTGTTGCCAAATGTTGCTTGAGATTACCTTTATGAAGCCATTTCTTTCCGCAAACACCACATTTGAATCGTCTCTCGCCAGTGTGATGGACTTGCATGTGTCGTTTTAAATCAATTTGTCGACAAGATTTATATGGGCAAAGATAACAAACGTATTGTCGGCCTTTGCAATGATCCTCATGCGATTGTTTCTCGTTTTCATCAGTGAATCGTCGACCACATTGTGCGCAATCAAATGGAAGTTCTTTAATGTGGGTGCGTGAATGGTTGTTAAGATCATCTTTGCGTAGAAATGTTTTGGCGCAAACACGGCATCTGAATGGTCTCTCACCATTGTGAATTCGCATGTGTTGCTTGAGATGTTGCAAATGATGAGCGGCGTTTTTGCAAAGATGACAAGCATATTGACGATGTTTGCATTCGCGTTCGTGGTCGATTTTGTCGATTTCATGTGCAAAACCCTGACGACACTTTGAACAACAAAATGGAAATTCTGCTGCATGAGTTTTCTTATGACGATTCAAATGTGGCTTGCGTGCAAAAGCTTTGCCACATATTTCACATGCGAACGGTTTTTCGCCGGTGTGCGTACGAATGTGTATTTTGAGACTTCCTTTGTGCGATGTCACATAATTGCAGAAAGTGCATTTGTGTTTTTTCCCATGCTTCACGGGCGGCTTCTTTGAAGGTTTGGCCATTCTGTCATTCTTTGTGCCTTTTGCTTTCTTTCGTTTTGCTTCACGTTTTTTGTTCTGATCGCCTTTCGAATTTGGTCTCAAACTGCTTGAACTTTCCCCAATCCGATCAACGTTTACCATTCCATTTCCATCCTTTGTCGGGTCACACATTTTCTTCAAACATTCGTCTTCGCTTTTGACCTCTGTCTTCATATAACTCGGCTTACTTTCCAATTCTAGCTCACTATCGCTCTCGCTTTCCGACTTGATTGTTGCATTCGTCGCAATTTGAGGTGATGATGGCCTGTCCTGAATCAAATAAGCACCTTCACTTGGCTCTTGTTTTATTTCTTGTTTGATTTCAATTTGCGATTCCTTTAGCTTTCGCTTGCATTTTTGATTTTTGGCCTTTCCACCCAAAGTTCCTTTGTTTCGATACGGATTCATCGTTTTTTGATGCTGATATGGAAGGAAAACAAAATTGCGGAAGTGTTATGACTCTAAATGTAACTACTTTTAAAATTTATTTCAACTTTCAAAATTCTCTTCATCTTCAAGTTAAATTCAATTCTAAATGTATACTTAACAATTTCAAGTGTTCAAATATATATATTCCACGTGCTGAACATAACCTCAACTAAAATGCAGAAAGTACACAGCAATACACTTCTTGTATATAGCTCACATGTACACACGAAATACAATACATGAATATCGGCATGAATGTGTGTTGAATATCGCAAGGAGTACATCATGAAATGACGTCGTGGAATATTCCAGAGAAAAACGCAAACCACAAAGAGAGGAAAAATGTTTGAACTAACTAAATCAACTAACAGAATATAGTAAAAATTCTCAGAACTACAAAATGCTTGCATTTGGATATTTAACTGTGGATCTTTTTTCTGTGTTAACCTAATAAACATTTTGCTCAAATTTATTTTCTCCATTGAATTTTTTTGCAGTTTTTTTCCGAATTTCTCAAATTGTGCTTATTGCAATGTTAAATTGTATTTTTCCCATAACTCACCTTCTAATTAACTTGTGTCGGAATTTAAAACGTACGTAGTCACTGTTCAGAGCAAGAGATATACGTGTTACTTCTTCTAATGGCTGCCTATTTATGACTCATAAATGTTCTCACTCCATAATCTGTGCAATGAGTCAGTACAATGTGTCAGTACACTCGACATGTATGCAATTTTGCTTGTGTTGGTTTGCCAATTTTACATGACAGAATGAAGTTGTTCACATTCTAAGTTGTCAGTGAGTTCGTTTTATTCAAATTCAAACAGATTCAAGTCGCGACACGATCATATCAATTTTATTATTATTATTTCTTGAATTCAATACGCACAAGTATAAGGTGGTTATTTTAATAAAATAACAAATTGAAATGATTCATCTCTCATTCTCAAGCTCCAACAAAAACTGAAATTGCTTACTCTGGAAGTATAACAACTCTATCAGCGACAGAGTGATAAAATATATTTAAATGAACCATTTTACAGCGTGTCACCTCTCGATTATTTCTGTCTCTTTTAATCCTACTATTGCCTTCAATGCAAAGTTGTAATCGCGAAGCCGTGAAATGTCAGCTGTTATCAGCGTCGTGACTTATCATATAAGTTTTTTGCCTGATCTCGAGCCGCACCAAATGCATTCCATAGTATTGTGTGACATTATCACGTTCGAATGAATTTCGTTTGTTATTCGATGTAAACAAAGTGCGAGAATGCAATCAGTCAATGAGTTAAGTGAGAAGAGCGTGTACTCTCTTCTTATTCTGCTTTTGGAAAAATGCTAATTTTGATTCTAATTCACGTGTTGATTACATTAACTTGTGGATTGAACGAAATTGAAAATCAAGTAAAATTGGCGCAACAAATAACCGATTGTTTCTTCATCCAAAATAGCACCGAATCAGTGGAACTAGAGTGTGACACGGTCAATGTGAACTCAAGTAAAAGCAAATGTTATTCGGCACTATTCGAAGATGAATCGATGAAAGCTGGCCGTTTGAAAGTGAACGAATTGAAAAGTGGCCAGTGTCGTTCTCAAACGTTTGACACAAAATTGGCCGAAATGTTTCCGAATTTGGTAACGCTAGACATTTCGTATCTTGGATTAAAAGTGACGCCACAAAATGTGGACGAAGCCATCGGGGTCAGTTTCTATTTTGAGAAATTGAAAAAGCTCAACGCATCGCACAATGAAATCGGAGCACTTGGCGATATGTTCTACTTCACAGCAAATATCAACGACATTGACCTATCGCATAATAACATCTCAATCGTCTCCGCATCTTCATTCGCAACGAATGATGCGGTGAGAAAGATCGATTTGTCGCATAATTCAATTTCAACGGTGGAGAGTTTATCATTTGAGGACATGGGCAATTTACGATCCATTGATTTGAGCCATAATTTCTTGAAAACATTTGACTTGGGCGTATTCATGCGTAACGTTAAATTGCGGGCCATTCATTTGGAGAATAATCGAATCAAACAGTTCACGTATGATGCGTATGGCGGTATACCAAAATTCGATACGCTGGTGTTCTTCAGTGCAGCCGGCAATCGAATCGAAAACTTGAACGAAAATTATTTACAATGTTTGGGGCCGGCGCTCAAATTATTGGATCTGTCATGGAACCCATTGGACCAACTGAATTCCAGCATGTTTGACGGACTCAATAGTTTGACGCATTTGAATTTTAGCCACACCAATTTGTCGCAATTCGATTTTGACGCTTTCAAACATCCGGATAAAATGAAGTCAATCGATTTATCTCATAATCACATGCACACATTTAACCTAACCGCCAATTTCAGCAGTTTGGAGGCGCTCAATTTGGAAGACAATGATTTGCGCGATTTAAAAAACATTTCCAATGCTACGTGTCCGGCACTTTCAAGTGTTGGTATTTCATTGAATCGACTTTCGTGTGATTATGCGAGAAAGTTCACCAAACAGTGGCCGGACATAGAAAGCATCGGCGATGCATGTAATCAAAAGACCGAAGTTGAGGTGCACAACACCAAAAATAACTTTGTTAAATATACAATAATATTCAGCTCTGTTAGTGCCGTCTTGGCCATCTCAATGGGATTCATTGTTTGGATTTTATATTTTAAACGATCGCCGAAAATTGAACAAACAATTGAACTGAATTCGATTTCGAGACTTAACCGAATGGAAGCGATCGATCAACAATGTGAACAAAACTCTCAATACAGCTCATGCACTTTTTATGAGGAGGTGGAACCAAGGGTAGAGCCCATTTATTCTGAACCCATCGAACCGAGTCATTTAAATGACACTTCACAGCAATACGATCACTTGAGTCATATTCCATTACCATTGTCACCGGCATTGCTCCATTATGACATGTTGAATAGCCGAAAGAGAGACACCTCAAATCCAACGAAGTGAAATCGAGAGGAATCGATCAAATTCAGTTTGTTTATGTGCTTTTCGATTGTAAATAAAGTTGAACTATATTAGAGCCAATGACTCAGCCAAATGTTTTTAAATAAGCACCATCCACTGTCAACCAGTACCATTTGTTTGGAAGGAAAAACGAGAACAAAAGTTATCAATGATAGTGTTAATTTATCTCTTAACGACATATATTGTCATAGAATGAGACGTGAAGTCGGTTTTTCTTGCAAATAATTCTTATCACAGCAAACAATTTGGTTTATCTCACCATTTTTCAATGAATGTTGAGTATATAAGAACGTATTTAAAGATACTTTCATTCATTCTGAATTGACATACTTATTGAGATCAAACGGTAAATGTGGGCAAAATTAATAAATATTCATTGTGATTTCTCTAATGAAATGGTTCTTTTGTTTATTTTATTCAATAATAAGATTGTGAAAACTTGCTAAGATAAATGGATTTTACAGACAATTTATTGAATTAACTGGTCAGTTGAGCTGACAGTACGTTAGCCAGCTAAATGGGCTAAAACAATAGACGTTATTGTTTTAATGATGAATCACTTTTCTTGTTTTAATAGAAGTGATTGTTCATTATAACAATAACTTCTATTGTTTTAGTACATTTAGCTGGCTAGCGTACTGTCAGCTCAACTGACCAGTTAGTTCTATATAATGTCTGGGATTTTATTTGTTGGTTATACGATTAAATAGCATTTTGCTTCCAAATGTATTGAAAGCAAAAGGTATTGAATATTGAGGTGTCATTTAATTTAGTTGAGTGTTAAATTCAGGATCAAGTTTCAGATAAATTGTGAACTGTTTGTGAGTTTTTCTTAATTCAATTGTTATATTGTTCTTAAAAGATAAATGGAGCAATTTCAACGATGATTTCTATGCAATGGTTTCAAATGTACTGTGAGATGGAATGGTATCGCAATCATTTCTTCAAACCGTGTACCTTTTTCATATGCCAATTAGCTTTTCCAAGTAGTGAAAAACGACCGTCACATAGTTTGCATGAAAATGGCTTTTCGCCAGTGTGATAGTTTCGCATGTGACCTTTTAATTGTGATGATTCATGCTTTAAAACTTTGCATAAATAACACTGAAAAAGGCGACGCTTGCAGCGATCTTTGTGAGCAATCATATCCTCTTCTTTTGCAAACGGCATGAGGCATTTTGAGCAGTGGACCGGTTTTTGTTTGGAGTGTGTTGCCAAATGTTGCTTGAGATCACCTTTCTGAAGACATTTCTTTCCGCAAACACCACATTTGAATCGTCTCTCGCCAGTGT